GCCTACCCTTTGGTTAAAACTAGTGGTGGGATGTTTAGTAGGTATCTGTTTAATTTAAACAGTTTCTGTTCTTAAACAGATACAAGGATTACCTTCCATTAGGCAGGGACAGGTTCTTATGATCAGCGCTGAATTCATAGATGAACTCAACCGTGAGTTTAGGAACCAAGCAATCTCACAGTACAGGATTAGTAGGTGGAGACAGCTATACCGACGGTAAAATAGGGAAGCACTGAATATGTTTAATTAAACAGCTTTCCGAAACAGATACAGAAACCTTTTTGATTAAACAGCTTACAACAGGTACGTTGACAGTTTTCTGAAACAGATACAGAAACAGCTCTCTTAAACAGATGCAATACTTGGTAACCGATACAGCTCTCCTGTTCTTTCCTAGTTTTTTTTATGATAGGTTAAGGAAAAAAAAATAGTTTCAAGTTTGTGCCCAAGGAATGCCAACTAGTTGTGGGAGATATATGTAGTCTAATCCAATAGCCAAGACTATATAGTGGTCCTAGTGCTTCCTTTACAGTGCACTGCCGGTCAACAATTATTGTACACAGGGAAAATGGTAGGTAACATACATCATCACGGGCGGATCTACGGGGGGAGGGGGAGGGCTTTCGGGCTGAAGCCCCCCCAAAATGGAAAAATATAACCATGTTTTATGGGAAAAAAATTTAAAAAATACCTCTTAAAGTATTATTGTTCGTGTAACTACATTTAAAAGTACTTAAGGAATAACTTAAACACCATTTCATATAGGTAGTTAGTTTCTTTCTGTTTTTCCAAAGTAATTATCGTCATTTTCATGAAAAAAAAAAAGGTTTCGGGCTGAAGCCCCCTCCAAAATTAAATTCTGGATCCGCTAGTGTACATCATCTATTAGGTAACAAAAATTACTTTTGGTCGATCTACACATTTTTCTACATCTCGACATTTAGTTACTTTTTGTTACTTTAATTTTTTATCTCAGTAGTATATAGTGTCAAACAATTTTTACAATACTGTACTTATCATTTATTGTAACTAAATGAATTTGATTATGTATTACAAAACAAAATACGCAATAACAATAATAATTATGTATTTTCAGATTTCATCAATGCAGATCGAATTGAAGGACCTGAAGAAATATGCAAGAAATCAATTGAACCTGGAGCAACAACAGCTAAACCTGTTGGTTAAACAGCTAACGACATTGTGTGCCAAAAAATTGTCTGGTGCGAGTTCTCTTGAAAAACCAGCTCCACCCAGCAGTAGTAAACATGTCGAAAAAAATTATGCTCTATATTGTCAATGATGTGGGTCATTAAATGTCACTAAGATACCAGGTGGCAGTGTTACATATGTTGTTGCCTCTGAAAAGTATATTAGTTCAGAAGGAAATGAGGAATTGGCAGATAGACTTTTCCTCCTCTTCTTTGCCTACCTCATGTGAGAAATATTCCTGATTGCCATAAACTTGATTGGCAAAATTAATGTATAAGGCATTTCAAGAGGTATCGACGACGGATATAAATAATCCGTTCATTGTATTATAATTGTACATAGTCTGTATTATAATTGAACATACATCTTGTAAATAAATTTAATAATTAATTATATTTGTTAACAAGGTCTTTTTGTAGTGTCCCCCGACATCATACAGTATCATGAACATAATGCAAATGCAATTGAAGTGTAAGTTAATTCACTAAGATACATAGTTATTCTCTCGAGTTCTCTTGAAATTCAAATGCCACCCAGCAATAGTAAAAGCGTCGAAAAAATAGTGTCCTAAACTGTCATAGATGTGGGTCATTAAAAGTTACTAAGATACCATGTGGATGTGGCCGTGTTTCGTAAATCGTTGCCTCTGAAAAGTATATTAGTCAGGAAAAAGATGAGGAATTGTCAAATAGACTTTTCTTTTTTTCTTTGATACTTCATGTCGGAGATACTCCTGTTTCAAATGAACATGATTGGTAAATTCAATGCATGCAGTTTTTTAACAGGTACGGACGGATTTGAATAATAAAAAACAAAACACAAAAAAACACTAGGCTATCAAAAGTTGGAAATACAAATGTCATTTTCCAAGGTTTACTCAACATACCCGAAATTTTCACGTTTCTGAAATGCTCATATACTGAGATTGAAGGAGGATACAAATGCCGCCCCCATGATATTACCAAGTTCTGTATTTAATATTAATTTAAAGTTAGTAACTATCATATCTGACTCGATCGCGAACTGACGTTTGAAGAATCTGTCGGATCCTCCTCCCCGATGCTGTTTTGAATACAATTCTGTTTAGTATAATGATTAACAATGTAATCAAGACACTAGAAACTTTCAATTCTGCATTAGTATCGTTACGTAAATGGACAGTGGACAACAGTTTGAGGTTAATACTCATAATTAATTCGATTATGCATTCCAAAACCAAATTCAGAATATAAACACGCAATAACAATAATAATTTTGTATTTTCAGATTTAATCAATGCAAAATATGCAAGAAATCAATCGAACCGGAGAAACAACATTTAAATCTGTTGGTTAAACAGCTTAAGACATTGTGTAGCAAAAAAATGTCTGGTGCGAGTTCTCTTGAAAAACCAGCTCCACCCAGCAGTAGTAAACATGTCGAAAAAAATTATGCTCTATATTGTCAAAGATGTGGGTCATTAAATGTCACTAAGATACCAGGTGGCAGTGTTACATATGTTGTTGCCTCGGAAAAGTATATTAGTTCAGAAGTAAATGAGGAATTGGCAGATAGACTTTTCCTCTCTTATTTGCTACCTCATGTGAGAAATATTCCTGATTGCCATAAACTTGATTGGCAAAATTATTGTATAAAGCGTTTCAAGAGGTATCGACGACGGATATGAATAATTCGTTCATTGTATTATAATTGTACATAGTCTTTATTATAATTGAGCATACATCTTGTAAATACATTTAATAATTAATTATATTTGTTAATAAGGTCTTTTTGTAGTATCCCCCCAACATCATACAGTATCATGAACATAATGCAAATGCAATTGAAGTGTAATTTAATTCACTAAGATACATAGTTATTCTCTCGAGTTCACTTGAAATTCAAATGCCAACCAGCAATAGTAAAAGCGTCGAAAAAATAATGTCCTAAACTGTCATAGATGTGGGTCATTAAAAGTTACTAAGATACCATGTGGATATGGCCGTGTTTCGTAAATCGTTGCCTCTGAAAACTATATTAGCCAGGAAATATATGAGGAATTGGCATGAAAATTTTTAAGAGGTACGAACGGATTTAAATAATAAAAAAATACGACGCTATCAAAAGTTGGGAATACAAATGTCATTTTCCAAATAAATGGGCAGTGGACAACAGTTTGAGGTGAATACTCACAATTAATTTGATTATGCATTCCAAAACCAAATTCAGAATATAAACACACAATAAAAGTAATAATTTGGTATTTTCAGATTTCATCAATTTAGACAAACTTGAAAAATAATGCGGAGAAACATGCAGTAATAAGTTAATTGAATCGGGCAACAACTCATGCCAGGGATATTTGTGATTGCTATAAACTTTATTGGCAAATTCAATGCATAAAGCTTTTTAAGAGGTACGGACGGATATGAACAATCACTTCATTGTATTACAATTGTACATAATCTATTTTTTGTAAATAAATTTAATAATTAATTTTATTTGTTGAGATCATTTTGTAGCATCTTTTGACTGCATAACGTATCATGAACATATTGCAAATGTGGATAATTAAAAGTTACTAGATATTCACAAAATCTACTAGAAAAAAGTTAAAAATGATATTCACTGTTCTGTGGAATATGCCCCAGGAGAATCGGAACACGAGATGTTAAAAATGGTCATGACCCATAGAACTTCCAGAATATTCCAGAGATAAGAATTATAAAACACATTTGAAAGCCAAAGAAACCTTACTCGGAAGAGAAAATAATCAAGAATAGAATAAATTCTTTTAAAAGCTAGATTTAATAATTGTTGGAGTCCAAGCTCATCGTTTTCTATAAACATAAACAAGAACACAGAGTCTAAGAAAAATAATCCTTGTGTTACGAAATTCGGGAAAACACTCTTACATCGGATATTACCAAGTTCTGTAGTTAATATTAGTTTAAGTAGCTAACATCTATCATATAGGACTCGATGGCTAAGACCCAGCTGGTGAATAAATTTTGATGGGAAAGTCAAAGCTATTTCGGCAGTGCTTGCTGCAATAGAGAAGGAGCTCATCTATCACCAGATTGTGTTCTTTGTTGATTGACAACCGTCGTACTAGCGATCTGCCATGGTCTAGACGGTGATGTCACAGACGCTAGTGATTGAGCATTGGCGATCTCATTGAAATAAGAATCCGAATGACATTCCAAAGGGTTCCGAGCCATTAAGGTATACCTGGAAACGAACAAGGTGATGAGCTCATACAAGTTTTCATTATCCCTTAAGGTTCACATGTCTCTTTAGGCTACCATAGCAGCCAAAACAAGTAAATTCGTAAAAAGAGACGATTTTCAAAAATATTCTTTACAATTGTAGTGTTCTAGCTACAATCTTGGGCATTTTAAAATTGTCGCTTTATTTCATCAGTTTTTCAGCGGTGCAGTCGCGAATCCAGGATTTATTTTGTTTTATTTTTTATAATAGTAATTATTTTATGAAAAAGAAGGAATCATTACAAGATGGTGCTTAAGTGATCTTTGAAAGCCTGTAAAAAATAATAATTATTATAATGACAGAGATTACAATGCTTTTAGGGATAAATGTTTAACATTTTGTTCTCGACACGGTGCTCATTTATAGTAGCTGTATGTATGTTACGACCTAAAAAGTGTATATGTGCTGTTTGTGAGTATTTAGATCAGATAAAAAAAAGTCAGATCACGAACTGAAACAGATATGGACCAACGAAAATTTTTTCAATCTATTTTGTGGGTTTTAGCCCAAAAGTTTCCCACTCCACAACGGTATATCTAACCTTGCATTGCTATTCCAATTACGAAGAGTTTTGAGGATGGGTGTCAAAAAACTATATACTCTGATACAAGAATAAGAGCAAGAGGAAGTAGATAAATAAGAACAATACGATCGTTACCCTCTCCATGGTTAGTCCCCCCCCCACTAAAGAAACGTAGCAATTCTCGCTCTTGAGGCAAGAAGTGGAACTATAATCCCAAGCTTCATCCTTCATTCAACATGGATTCCTTGGGTAAGTATCTAATCCTTAATAAGTGTATGTTTAAGTATTTGTTATAAGGTGAACTGCATTATATAATTTAATATTATATCAATAAATTAGTTATTGAAAGAAGTTAGGAACTCTATAACCTTTAGCAAAGCTGTCTATAGTGGTCTGGTGGGGTCTTTTTATACCCCAGCTTTCTTTTCTTTTGTATTTGTATTTTATATTCAATATGCTTATAATAACAATAATTTAGGTATACTAATAAAATACTTTTATTCATTAAATGAAATAATTGATGGGTTTATAATTGTTTTCTATTATAATTAAATATTAAATATTTTATGTTCCATTATTTTTGAAGGGTATTGATATCTAAAGATACCAACGAAATTCGTTCATAGAAATAATTCATTTCTTTACTAGCCTAATTATGTATATATATTTTCATCCATATAGTTAAATAAAATTAATGATCTTCATGTTTCTTGTTTTCATTTATAATTGGTGTGTTACATTGTGGTCTAAAATGTATATGAAATCATGGTTATCTGCATTAAATATAATGGTTATTGTGCCATTAATCTTATTATGTTAGCAGTATCTCCCTCTATTGCTTGGAATGGAGGGTGGTGGTTAAGATAGATTCAACCATTTAGCCTTCAAGGCTGGTATAAGGAGAAGCTAAGAGTAGTGGGGAGAAGGTGGCAGAATTAAGGGATTAACTTCTAAACAAAATTGTATTTATAAATAGAATAAAACGGTTGTCTCTGTTTTTTCCTCTTGATTCAGACAATAAAATGAAATTATGTTATGATTTTTTAATATTTATTTCGTAATAAATGTTACCTAAAATACTGTGATAAACCTTATGATTTTATTCGGGAGGAAAATGTTGGACGAATTCAAGCTTACCCCTTTTGGAATAAATCCTAGTTCTGGACCTAATAGGCTTTATTCTTGTTGTTTTTAATTTCTTTATTGTTTGATGATTCATTTATTTCTCAATATATTTCAGTAGAATATATAAACTCTGAAAATGTTTTATTTTTTCCTCTGAACCTTATTTTGTTGGTTTGCTGTATAGCTGCTGCTGAAATGACTGCAACAATTGTTGATGGTGCACAGGAAACTACTGCTAGACCTAACAATGATGGTAAGTTAGCTTTTTAAAGTATTATTGAAGTAAGTTAGTCGACTGTTCTACATATTATGAATGATAAATATTCAGGACTCGGTCATTATAAGGTTTTTATTAGTGCCGACGTTTTAACACAAACATGTGGGTCTTCATCAAGGCTTGGTTTGAGCACTAAAGATATTCAAGTACTGACAAGATATTCAAGTAATGAAGATATTACTTGAAAATCTTCAGTGCTCGAACAACGCCCTGATGACCCACATGTTTGGGTTGAAATGTCGGCACTAATAAAAACCTTAATTAAGCAAAAGTAATGTACTTTCAACTAAATCACATCTCTGCTTATCTATTCCATTTTAATCTACTTTACTTTCCTTCACATCCTTCTTTCAAATTATTGACATCTATTTTTGTTCAATGATAGATATCCATTTTTTTTTTAAATATAATTTATTGAGGTACCTTCCTCACGATACTAAAAATAAAACAACTAATTATTGCAATGTTGGGTAACATATCAACCAAAAGGAAATTCTGTTATTTTATTAGAAATGTATTTCATCTCGCCTTTTATCATACAACTGACAGTGCACTATAAAGGATGATGCACTAGGAATCCTATGTATTCTTGGCTAATTGATTTGGCTATTTAGGTCTTCCAAAAGTAGTTGATACCCTGAAGGTAAACTCGTGGGGCATTAAGTCGGAACTACTGTTGTTTTTTTCTTCAACATCCAATATTATTTACAAAAAAATGCATATGAAACAATTTGTTTCTAAGCCAACTCATTCCAATTTCCTTAAGTTTTACTGAAGATACCAAAAACAAATTTAGACTGGACATTAATAATGGACTTAAGGCTAAACCAAACACAATTATTCAGACAATTTTAGGCAAGCTAAATGTCATTGCCAACAGCCTAAGAAAGGCTGTTAAATGTGACATTAACTATTACAGACATCAATATTAATAATTCTGTCCTTTAGCCCTCTTTTTAGACTGTTGAAAATGGGATTTCATTTCCTAAAACTGTCTAACTCAATTTGTTTGTTTCGGCTCTTAGCCCATTATTGATGTCCTGTTTTTTTGGTGAATAGTTTTTCTGGTCTCATGAAATTTTTATATAATAAATTAACCAGGGGTAGACTGCTGTCAGTGGGTCACCGATTTCAACCAAATTTCTTTTCGGTGATACTACATCAAAGGTCACTACTACTATCATTATTAACGAATTACAGCCTCTTATGAAATCACTACACATTTCGGAAGCTCCTCTGAAATAGATAACGCCCATTTCCAAATCTTTAATTAATATTCACAGCTCCACTAGTCTAGCTAATAAAGTAGAGAAGAAAAGTTTATACTCATCAATTTATTTGAAACAATTAGCACTGAACACAATCACGGAACGTTACCCTAATTATAAGTTATATAATTACAAGTTTATACAGACTCATCAAAAACAAGTGACCAAACATCTGCAGCTGTGTATATGATTCCCGAAAGAACCAGAAATTTTCATTATCAATACCAGTTGATTCCAGTATTTTTAGCGCCGAACTAAATGCCATTCTTAATGCCATAATATACAGCGAAAACCAAAAAGTAGTTATTCTGACAGACTCAGAAACTGCATTTAAACACCTAAAATTAATCTAACAAAATAAAACACTGAAACACATTTCCTTTAAAATCTTATCAATAATATACAACGCCAGCAACAATTAATTTTTCCAGCGGGTGCCGGTACACATGTGAATATCAGGAAATAAAATGGCAGACATTTTATTATTTTATGTATTTTACTGGCAAATCAAAACCAACTACATCGAATAAACGCTAAGGTTCCTTTATTGGATTTGATAAGAGTAATGAAGGGGAAAATAATAAAAGACTGGCAGCATTTCTACGACTGGGATTGTGCCTCGAAGAGTAAGTACCATCTGGCAGTTCAACAGAAGATAGCACTGGTTCCATGGTTTGCGACTCTTAAATCTCATCTCGATTGCTCCAGCTTAGTAAAGCTGACCAGGCTTAGGATAAATCACGGTAGAACTAATAAATATCTACATCTAATGGGTATAGCTATGAAGTGGTCACTGCCCAACATGCCAATGCTTGGAGGATCCAAGACACATTGTCTTCGAGTAGGCGTGGGAGGGGAAAGGCCAAACGTTTGAAAAGAACAGTTCTTGATCTCAAACGAATGAACTGTTCTTCCAAACGGATAACAACAGTTTTTTTTTTAGTTCACCCTTTTGCCACTAGTTGAGTTGTTGTTTGATTGGTTTTTCGTTTCGTTTTTCCAATAAAACAGAAGTTCTTTCTGTTTTCCAACTAACCTATCAGTACATCATTAAAATGACCCAACAGTTTTTTTTTACAAGACATGTTTCAACTGTTATGTTTATAGATGTTTACTTTACTATGCCAATCCCTTCCAAAACTGTCAGGGATATTGTCATAATAATTCTGCTTTAAGAACTGGTGAAAATTTATTGCTGTGGACTGTAAATTAGAGAAGTTAATGGATTAAAGAAGTGAATATGTAAAATTGATTGCTTTATTTTATTACATGTGGTTTTATACGGAGGTTAAATATAGGTGGGTTGGGATACTTGCATTTTCTCTTTTCTTGTTGTGCCAGTCTTCTTTTTCATCTTCCCTCTCTTCCTTTCTTGGCCCCTTGCCGGCCGCTGTAGGTTTTTACTCCATTTTTATTAAACCAGTCTACGCTTCAACAATGGCAGCGTCACAACAATGACTGAGGTATATATGCAGCATAACAGCTGTGTTGTGCTTACTTGATTTAATTCAAATATCAAGTTTGATGTGTTCCCTAAACAAGCCGCCCACCTAAATTAAGCTATGCTAATTTACAATGAAAACAAAAAGCGTAACATAGTGCTGTGATGTGCTAATACAAATGTGGTAGTACAAAAAAAATGTCATCTCTTTTGATGAAATTAAAATAAGCAATCAAATTAATTAAATAAATTAATGGTACTTGTGAATATAATAAAAAAGGAGAATAATCAAATAATAATAAAATTAATAAACAAAATTGGTTAAGCAAAACACTAATGGTTAAACAAAGTAAAGAATTTGACACTTATATTTATAAAACTAAGATTACTAACGAATATAAAAGGATGTAAATTGCCTAAAGAATATACAAATGAAAAAATATGTATATATATGTTACAATGGATGCTACACATCAAGATTGGGGGAAAATAAGGGAGCGAGCGATACCACTGGACGAACATAAAACATGTTCGAAGGAGTCTTCACAGTTACTGTTCGCACTACGCCGTCTTTCCCAGGATGGATGTCTGAGATTCTTGCCACTGGCCAATGTCCGACGATTGATCTCTTTTCGATCATGATGACTAGATCGCCTTTCTTCAGGTTTGGAAGGTTTTGCTTCCACTTCACCTCCTGTTGAAGATTGTGAAGATAATCCTGGCTCCACCTATGCCATATAGATCTGATATGAGTTTAAAGAGAATCCCATCTATCCGCGGGCTTCTTATGAACTACTTCATCAACAAGCTCCGGTATCACAGCTAAGGATGAGCCAATCAAGAAATGTGCAGGGGTGAGGACATCGAAATTTTCCGGATCTTCATTTAGTGGCGTAAGAGGCCTCGAGTTGAGAATTCCTTCAATTCTTACGAATGCTGTAGAGAGCTCCTCAAAGGTGAATGGTTGAGCTCCCATAATTCCTGCTAGTAAGGATTTGGCAGATTTCACGCCTGCTTCCCAGCCTCCCCCAAAGTGAGGGGCTCTTGGTGGGAAGAATTTCCATTCAATGCTCTTTTCGGAGACGCTACGTATGATTTCATCCTCATGCTTAGATATGAACTGGTATACATCCTTGAGGAACCTGCTAGCTCCTACAAAGTTGGTACCGTGGTCAGACCATATTGACAGGGATTCCTCTTCTTGATATAAAACGATCCAACGCTGCCAAGAATGAAGTGGTGGAGAGGCTAGATACAACTTCTAAATGAAGAGCCCGCGTTGACAAACAAATGAATAGACACAAATATGATTTACGAACTGCGGCCTTCCTTCAATTAGACTCTTTTATTAAGAATGGGCCTGTGTAATCCAATCCTACCTGCAAGTACCATTAATTTATTTGATTGCTTATTTTAATTTCATCAAAAGAGATGACATTTTTTTTGTACTACCACATTTGTATTAGCACATCACAGCACTATGTTACGCTTTTTGTTTTCATTGTAAATTAGCGTAGCTTAATTTAGGTGGGCGGCTTGTTTAGGGAACACATCAAACTTGATATTTGAATTAAATCAAGTAAGCACAACACAGCTGTTATGCTGCATATATACCTCATGCTGCATAGAAGACTGGCACAACAAGAAAAGAGAAAATGCAAGTATCCGGCCCGGAGGACCAATGTTTACTTTACTATGCCAATCCCTTCCAAGACTGTCAGGGATATTGTCATAATAATTCTGCTTTAAGAGCTGGTGAAAATTTATTGCTGTGGACTGTAAATTAGAGAAGTTAATGGATTAAAGAAGTGAATATGTAAAATTGATTGCTTTATTTTATTACATGTGGTTTTATACGGAGGTTAAATATAGGTGGGTTGGGATACTTGCATTTTCTCTTTTCTTGTTGTGCCAGTCTTCTTGTTCATCTTCCCTCTCTTCCTTTCTTGGCCCCTTGCCGGCCGCTGTAGGTTTTTACTCCATTTTTATTAAACCAGTGGAATCACAAGTTTTTTGGAAAATCAACATGGAACTCACAAACACGAAATTTGAACTGGCCAGTCTTGTCATTCACTCACGCTACGTGAGCGTCTACGCTTCAACAATGGCAGCGTCACAATGACTGAGGTATATATGCAACATAACAGCTGTGTTGTGCTTACTTGATTTAATTCAAATATCAAGTTTGATGTGTTCTCTAAACAGATGTAATTTTTAGCTTAATTCATTAATTCATTATTAATGAAGGCTAGTGATAAATACCAACTTTCATTATAGTTAATACATTACTAAATTAAATTAAGCATGTTTGTAGGCAAAATTAGTTTATGTTATTAGATGTATCTATCTATATTTGTGTCTTGACGGCCGAAAATAATTTTTATGATTGAACATATTCACATAAATCAATGTAAGTGCATAAATCAAATTAAATACTATTATTGAAGGGAAGAATGGTTGGGGTGACCGGTAAAAAAAAATAAAAAATAAATAAATAAAAAACATTGTTCTCTTCAATTGTTCACAGCAGTCAACCATTAATCCACAATTATAAACAATATTATGTTCTATAAAAATTGAAAAAGGCAAACAGTTGAAAACATTTTTGAACTACAGTTAAAAGACTTATAATGACCAAGCAGTGTAATTTCAAACTAAGGACAACACTTAATTAAGAAATATGGCAAAACATTTATAACAAATTTGTTTCAAAAATGAAAAATTCCCAAGCTCAGCGCTGAGCTCATCGATAGCACCAGATCCATCTTTACTTGAGAATTTAGGAAATTGTCCAAAATCACAACCACCAGATTAATACAAGAAAGTTATAATATTAATAGTTTCATTCATTTCCAGACTTGCCATTAAACGAATTGAATTTGTTTTAAAACGAATAGGTCTTACACCGTGAATCGTTGCATTGTTCTATGAACTATTTTTTTTTTTTAACATTTCCTAAGAACTGTTGTTTTTTGTCAACGATCAGTTCATTTACGTTTTTCAAAAGTAGCAGAAACGCCCATCTCTACCTTCAAGTGCAAAAGATTCAAAAAGCGAAGAAGAATTAGTTTAGGATTGCAAACTACGGATGATGGAGCTAACTTTCTTCGGTTGATGAATTAAGATAACGCCCGTGATTTGATAAAGTTTTAGAATGACATAAAAGCAGTTATATAATAGAAGTCACCTCTTATTCTTATTTAATTGTTATGAAACTACTGTCACCTCAGTTTCAACTATTAGTCTTACTGTTTTATGTTCTATATAAGTTATATTCAATGTTTAGTTACATTGAGTGATCATTTATCTATAAATATCCAGTGTAATTTCATCTTACTATGACAATTAAAATATTTTACTGTCAAAATAGGACTTGCTTTTACAAGTCTTAAAGCCAAAAAAGGAGTTGGTTGGAGAGTGCGGTCAAATAAAGACTTGGCATCGGGCACTGCAGGAAGCAGTTGACAAAGTGGCCAGTCTATCAACTAAATATAGTTCAGTTTGTATCACTGAAAAAAAATTGGTTAAAATCGGTGACCTAATGATTTTATCCCTCCCATAGTAAGTCAGATTTAAAACAAATTGTCTCAATTGTATATATTTGTTAATAATATGATAGGTTAAGAAAAAAAAAATAGTTTCAACTTTGTGCCCCCAACTAGTTGTAGGAGATATATGTAGTCTAATCCAATAGCCAAGACTATATAGTGGCCCTAGTGCTTCCTTTACAGTGCACTGCCTGTTAACAATTATTGTACACAGGGAAAATGTTAGGTAACAAAATTAATTTTGGTCGATCTACATCTCGACATTTAGTTACTTTTTGTTAATTTCATTTTTTATCTCAGTAGTAGATAGTGTCAAATAATTTTAACAATACTGTACTTATTATTTACTGTAACTAAATGAATTTGATTATGTATTACAAAACAAAATACGCACTAACAATAATAATTTTGTATTTTCAGATTTTATCAATGCAGATCGAATTGAAGAAATGTGCAAGAAATCATTTGAACCAGAGCAACAACAGTTAAACCTGTTGGTTAAACAACTTACGGCATTGTGTGCCAAAAAACTGTCAGGTGCGAGCACATCTGTTCAGAATCAAAAGCCACCCAGCAGTACACATGTCGAAAAAAATTATGCTCTATATTGTCAAAGATGTGGATCATTAAAAGTCACTAAGATACCAGGTGGCAGTGTTACATATGTTGTTGCCTCTGAAAAGTATATTAGTTCAGAAGTAAATGAGGAATTGGCAGATAGACTTTTCCTCTCTTCTTTGCTACCTCATGTCAGAAATATTCCTGATTGCCATAAACTTGATTGGCAAATTAAATGCATGAGGCTTTTTAAGAGGTATCTACGACGACGGAATAACATATGATAACATGAATGATCCGTTCTTTGTATTATAATTGTATATAGTCTGTAATATAATTGAACATACATCTTGTAAATAAATTTAATAATTAATTATATTTGCTAATAAGGTCTTTTCATAGTATCCCCCAACATCATTCAGTATCATGAACATAATGCAAATGCAATTGAAGTGTAAGTTAATTCACTAAGATACATAGCTATTTTTGCGAATGAGGAACCCTTAAATTTATGACATTCTGTACATATTTAACACACTTGATTTAATAATGAAAGTATTGTTCAAGGAATAATACCGAACTTAATTTGTAGCTCATTCTTTTTTTTTTTTATGAAAATGATTCCTCTTTTCATACTGTCTTATTAATTTCTCAGGTATACTTCTTTCTCCCAGATCTACAAAATGTGGCTAAAATTGATAATATAATAAGTGGAAATGATAGTACATCAGTATTCAATTTCCTATATTTTTTTTGGGTGGGGGGTGAGAGGGGGAAATCATTTTGTATCTCCTAATAATATGATAATTTCATCGCAGCTATATACACTTCTTGAAGTAGTTAAGTTTTCATTCAGAAACCTTGCCAAAAACTCTGGCAACCTTTGCAAATTCTGTTATTGTTAAAATAAAAAAAATATTGTAATGATAGTGTAAAAGAGAGAATCACTTTATTTTCATAAAATATAAAGGATTGCTGCCCAATTATATTGGGTTGCTATACACACAGCATACTCTTCTATCCTTAGGACAATATATGAACTTAAATATAAATATACGGAAGTCTTACTTAATATTAGTAAAATATATATATATATATATATATATATATACATTTTTATTTTTATTTTTTCCCCTTTTCCTTCTTTTCATTATTTATGCTTTTTTTTTTCTTTCCTTTAACATTTAGTTTCCCTTCTCTCTCTTTATCTCTATTGTTTTCAATTATTCATTAAATAAATACATAAATTAAAACTCTCGGGCTAGCCATGCACGTGGTGGTGAATGATTCCCAGGGAGTCGAGGACTATATTTTCAGCCAACCTCGCTACATCCTTAATGTCGACACCTAGTTCCTTGAGGAAGCTCCTTGTTCTTTTTGGGATAGTTCCGCAAGACCCAAACCATAGGCCTCTCAAATAATAAATAACAAAAATATTCCAATTTCTAGTCTGAAGATGGGATAAGAATGTGATCCTGAAAATTCATAAAAATAAAGAAGAATTGGGAGAGTAAATGCTGTTATTAAAACTTGTCAAATACATTTTTGTAAGCGATTTGGCTGAAAGGGTACATACAGATGCCCATTGATCATTGAAAATAATTCATAATTCTGTGTTACTACTTGAATATCATATGAGTGCTGCATATCCATCTTCTTAGCTTCATTAAATTTTCATGAATAACAATTTTTGTGTGCCATTTGGGACACTGGCAGAGTGCACAGGCTGATCTATGTGGTGGGGGAGGAGGGCTTTCTTGCTGAAGTCCCTCCAAATGGTAAAATATAACCAGGTCTCATGAAATAAATATTTAATAATTACCTCTAAAAGTATTATTCATGTAATTTCATTTAATAGTACTTGAAGAATCTTTTAAATGTACATTTCATATAGATAGTTAGTTTCTTTCTTTTCTTCATAATTAACTATCCTTATATATTTAAAAAAAAAAATCTCCAGCTGAAGCCACTCCCCCCCAAAAAAAACTAAATTCTAGATCCGCTAATGGCAGAGTGTAAATGAAATATGATAAGGATAACAGGTTCCATAGAGTAAATATTGATAATTTTAAAATAATTGGAAGAAGATGGTAATATTAAGATTAGCTGTCTATAAACAATTTTCATACTTGGGCACTCATTCCGCGCTAAAAAAAATTTGCAGCACCCTTGGATTAAAAATTGGGTAACTTTGTTCACGCCCATACATAATACAGCCTACCCTTTGGTTAAAACTAGTGGTAGGGTGTTTAGTAGGTATCTGTTTAATTTAAACAGTTTCTGTTCTTAAACAGATACAAGGATTACCTTCCATTAGGCAGGGACAGGTTCTTATGATCAGCGCTGAATTCATAGATGAACTCAACCGTGAGTTTAGGAACCAAGCAATCTCACAGTACAGGATTAGTAGGTGGAGACAGCTATACCGACGGTAAAATAGGGAAGCACTGAATATGTTTAATTAAACAGCTTTCCGAAACAGATACAGAAACCTTTTTCATTAAACAGCTTACAACAGGTACGTAGACAGTTTTCTGAAACAGATACAGAAACAGCTCTCTTAAACAGATACAATCCTTGGTAACCGATACAGCTCTCCTGTTCCTTCCTAGTTTTTTTTATGATAGGTTAAGGAAAAAAAAATAGTTTCAAGTTTGTGCCCCCAGAATGCCAACTAGTTGTGGGAGATATATGTAGTCTAATCCAATAGCCAAGACTATATAGTGGTCCTAGTGCTTCCTTTACAGTGCACTGCCGGTCAACAATTATTGTACACAGGGAAAATGGTAGGTAACATACATCATCACGGGCGGATCTACGGGGGGAGGGGGAGGGGCTTTCGGGCTGAAGCCCCTCCAAAATGGAAAAATATAACCATGTTTTATGGGAAAAAAATTTAAAAAATACCTCTTAAAGTATTATTGTTCGTGTAACAACATTTAAAAGTACTTAAGGAATAACTTAAACACCATTTCATATAGGTAGTTAGTTTCTTTCTGTTTTTCCAAAGTAATTATCGTCATTTTCATGAAAAAAAAGGTTTCGGGCTGAAGCCCCCTCCAAAATTAAATTCTGGATCTGCTAGTGTACATCATCTATTAGGTAACAAAATTTACTTTTGGTCGATCTACACATTTTTCTACATCTCGACATTTAGTTACTTTTTGTTACTTTAATTTTTTATCTCAGTAGTATATAGTGTCAAACAATTTTTACAATACTGTACTTATCATTTATTGTAACTAAATGAATTTGATTATGTATTACAAAACAAAATACGCAATAACAATAATAATTATGTATTTTCAGATTTCATCAATGCAGATCGAATTGAAGGACCTGAAGAAATATGCAAGAAATCAATTGAACCTGAGCAACAACAGCTAAACCTGTTGGTTAAACAGCTAACGACATTGTGTGCCAAAAAATTGTCTGGTGCGAGTTCTCTTGAAAAACCAGCTCCATCCAGCAGTAGTAAACATGTCGAAAAAAATTATGCTCTATATTGTCAATGATGTGGGTCATTAAATGTCACTAAGATACCAGGTGGCAGTGTTACATATGTTGTTGCCTCGGAAAAGTATATTAATTCAGAAGGAAATGAGGAATTGGCAGATAGACTTTCCCTCCTCTTCTTTGCTACCTCATGTCAGAAATATTCCTGATTGCCATAAACTTGATTGGCAAATTAAATGCATGAGGCTTTTTAAGAGGTATCGGCGACGACGGAATAACTTATGATAGCATGAATGATCCGTTCATTGTATTATAATTGTACATAGTCTGTAATATAATTGAACATACATCTTGTAAATAAATTTAGTAATTAATTATATTTGTTAATAAGGTCTTTTCGTAGTATCCCCCAACATCATTCAGTATCATGAACATAATGCAAATGCAATTGAAGTGTAAGTCAATTCACTAAACAGCTTACGACATTGTGTGCCAAAAAAATGTCTGGTGCAAGTTCTCTTGAAAAACCAACTCCACCCAGCAGTAGTAAACATGTCGAAAAAAATTATGCTCTATATTGTCAAAGATGTGGGTCATTAAATGTCACTAAGATACCAGGTGGCAGTGTTACATATGTTGTTGCCTCTGAAAAGTATATTAGTTCAGAAGTAAATGAGGAATTGGCAGATAGACTTTTCCTCTCTTATTTGCTACCTCACGTGAGGAATTGGCAGATAGACTTTTCCTCTCTTCTTTGCCACCTCATGTGAGAAATATTCCTGATTGCCATAAACTTGATTGGCAAAATTAATGTATAAGGCATTTCAAGAGGTATCGACGACGGATATAAATAATCCGTTCATTGTATTATAATTGTACATAGTCTGTATTATAATTGAACGTACATCTTGTAAATAAATTTAATAATTAATTATATTTGTTAACAAGGTCTTTTTGTAGTGTCCCCCGACATCATACAGTATCATGAACATAATGCAAATGCAATTGAAGTGTAAGTTAATTCACTAAGATACATAGTTATTCTCTCGAGTTCTCTTGAAATTCAAATGCCACCCAGCAATAGTAAAAGCGTCGAAAAAATAGTGTCCTAAACTGTCATAGATGTGGGTCATTAAAAGTTACTAAGATACCATGTGGATGTGGCCGTGTTTCGTAAATCGTTGCCTCTGAAAAGTATATTAGTCAGGAAAAAGATGAGGAATTGTCAAATAGACTTTTCTTTTTTTCTTTGATACCTCATGTTGGAGATACTCATGTTTCAAATGAACCTGATTGGTAAATTCAATGCATGCAGTTTTTTAACAGGTACGGTCGGATTTGAATAATAAAAGACAAAACAAAAAAAAAACACTAGGCTATCAAAAGTTGGAAATACAAATGTCATTTTCCAAGGTTTACTCAACATACCCGAAATTTTCACGTTTCTGAAATGCTCATATACTGAGATTGAAGGAGGATACAAATGCCGCCCCCATGATATTACCAAGTTCTGTATTTAATATTAATTTAAAGTTAGTAACTATCATATCTGACTCGATCGCGAACTGACGTTTGAAGAATCTGTCGGATCCTCCTCCCCGATGCTGTTTTGAATACAATTCTGTTTAGTATAATGATTAACAATGTAATCAAGACACTAGAAACTTTCAATTCTGCATTAGTATCGTTACGTAAATGGACAGTGGACATCAGTTTGAGGTTAATACTCATAATTAATTCGATTATGCATTCCAAAACCAAATTCAGAATATAAACACGCAATAACAATAATAATTTTGTATTTTCAGATTTAATCAATGCAAAATATGCAAGAAATCAATTGAACCGGAGAAACAACATTTAAATCTGTTGGTTAAACAGCATACGACATTGTGTACCAAAATAATGTCTGGTGCGAGTTCTCTTGAAAAACCAGCTCCACCCAGCAGTAATAAACATGTCGAAAAAAATTATGCTCTATATTGTCAAAGATGTGGGTCATTAAATGTCACTAAGATACCAGGTGGCAGTGCTACATATGTTGTTGCCTCGGAAAAGTATATTAGTTCAGAAGTAAATGAGGAATTGGCAGATAGACTTTTCCTCTCTTATTTGCTACCTCATGTGAGAAATATTCCTGATTGCCATAAACTTGATTGGCAAATTAAATGCATGAGGCTTTTTAAGAGGTATCTACGACGACGGAATAACATATGATAAGGGTTCCGAGCCGTTAAGGTATACCTGGAAACGAACAAGGTGATGAGCTCATACAAGTTTTCATTATCCCTTAAGGTTCACATGTCTCTTTAGGCTACCATAGCAGCCAAAACAAGTAAATTCGTAAAAAGAGACGATTTTCAGAAATATTCTTTACAATTGTAGTGTTCTAGCTACAATCTTGGGCATTTTAAAATTGTCGCTTTATTTCATCAGTTTTTAAGCGGTGCAGTCGCGAATCCAGGATTTATTTTGTTTTATTTTTTATAATAGTAATTATTTTATGAAAAAGAAGGAATCATTACAAGATGGTGCTTAAGTGATCTTTGAAAGCCTGTAAAAAATAATAATTATTATAATGACAGAGATTACAATGCTTTTAGGGATAAATGTTTAACATTTTGTTCTCGACACGGTGCTCATTTATAGTAGCTGTATGGATGTTACGACCTAAAAAGTGTATATGTGCTGTTTGTGAGTATTTAGATCAGATAAAAAAAAGTCAGATCACGAAATGAAACAGATATGGACCAACGAAAATTTTTTCATTCAATCTATTTTGTGGGTTTTAGCCCAAAAGTTTCCCACTCCACAACGGTATATCTAACCTTGCATTGCTATTCCAATTACGAAGAGTTTTGAGGATGGGTGTCAAAAAACTATATACTCTGATACAAGAATAAGAGCAAGAGGAATTAGATAAATAAGAACAATACGATCGTTACCCTCTCCATGGTTAGTCCCCCCCCCACTAAAGAAACGTAGCAATTCTCGCTCTTGAGGCAAGAAGTGGAACTATAATCCCAAGCTTCATCCTTCATTCAACATGGATTCCTTGGGTAAGTATCTAATCCTTAATAAGTGTATGTTTAAGTATTTGTTATAAGGTGAACTGCATTATATAATTTAATATTATATCAATAAATTAGTTATTGAAAGAAGTTAGGAACTCTTTAACCTTTAGCAAAGCTGTCTATAGTGGTCTGGTGGGGTCTTTTTATACCCCAGCTTTCTTTTCTTTTGTATTTGTATTTTATATTCAATATGCTTATAGTAACAATAATTTAGGTATACTAATAAAATACTTTCATTCATTAAATGAAATAATTGATGGGTTTATAATTGTTTTCTATTATAATTAAATGTTTAATATTTTATGTTCCATTATTCTTGAAGGGTATTGATATCTAAAGATGCCTACGAAATTGGTTCATAGAAATAATTCATTTCTTTACTAGCCTAATTATGTATATATGTTTTCATCCATATAGTTGAATAAAGTTAATGATCTTCATGTTTCTTGTTTTCATTTATAATTGGTGTGTTACATTGTGGTCTAAAATGTATATGAAATCATGGTTATCTGCATTAAATATAATGGTTATTGTGCCATTAATCTTATTATGTTAGCAGTATCTCCCTCTATTGCTTGGAATGGAGGGTGGTGGTTAAGATAGATTCAACCATTTAGCCTTCAAGGCTGGTATAAGGAAAAGCTAAGAGTAGTGGGGAGAAGGTGGCAGAATTAAGGGATTAACTTCTAAACAAAATTGTATTTATAAATAGAATAAAACGGTTGTCTCTGTTTTTTCCTCTTGATTCAGACAATAAAATGAAATTATGTTATGATTTTTTAATATTTATTTCATAATAAATGTTACCTAAAATATTGTGATAAACTTTATGATTTTATTCGGGAGGAAAATGTTGGACGAATTCAAGCTTACCCCTTTTGGAATAAATCCTAGTTCTGGACCTAATAGGCTTTATTCTTGTTGTTTTTAATTTCTTTATTGTTTGATGATTCATTTATTTCTCAATATATTTCAGTAGAATATATAAACTCTGAAAATGTTTTATTTTTTCCTCTGAACCTTATTTTGTTGGTTTCCTGTATAGCTGCTGCTGAAATGACTGCAACAATTGTTGATGGTGCACAGGAAACTACTGCTAGACCTAACAATGATGGTAAGTTAGCTTTTTAAAG